ACTACACCACTGGCCCAGCCCCCAAACGACCCTTTTAAACCATAAGTCATAGCATGTTACTCTTCTAACTGAAACCCTCTAGTGTCTTCTCACCTTGGAATTAAATCCAAAGTCTTTATCATGGTTTACAAGACCCTACATTATCGGGCCTCTGCCTTCTCCACTTCTCTCCTATCTTGCTGTCAAATAGGCCTCTGATGTTTCTTGAACAAACCAAGCATATTCCTGCCATTTATTACAAACTCTCTGTAATGCACTTACCCCTTATTAGTGTGAAGTTTCCCAAACAATATCTAAAATATCACTTCATTACTCTCCATATACTGATGCTTCTTCAGTTTTTTCTTCTTAGCAACTATCATGGTATGTATAATTTTAATTGATACTTCTCTTCCTACTGTAAGAATTTATGAGTTCCATAAGAGCAAGGACTTTTTTGCTTGTTATTTATGTTATGCTAAACAGTGTTATTCCTGAAACAGTGTGCAGAACATGTAGGGATTTGGTAAATATTTGTTGACTGGTTGAATGAACTAATTCAATAAACAAGCACTGGAGTGACTGGAGAATGAGATTGATTGACATCCATAGAATGGTCATCTTGTCCTTTCCATAGGGTGCTTTTGATGAGAATTCACATAAGACTCAAATATTCTCTCCCTCTGGGGCCACTCTGGGAAATCCAAAAAACATTTGCCTTTCCTTAGACCTTCTTGTCACCACCAATCCTTGAATTATTCTGTTTCCAAGACTCTAATTATCTAACAATCTTAGTCAATACCCACGAGTCACACAGTTCTTTATCACAAGCCTTTTCTTCTGCCAAAGAGGACAATATGATAGCTTTGAAATTAAGCCCACCTAGAGAATTTTCCTTCGCACTGTCCTTCAGGAGCACTATATATCAAGCAGCACCATCCGTAATTCTGACTTGAATCTTCTCCTCAATAAACAGGTGATAACAAACTCTCCACATAGCCATGAATGTGGGTTCACAAAGGGTTAGCAGTGAGAAGAGGTAGGCAGGCTGAAGGCTTGAACTACCTACTCAGGCAACTTTCCTGTGCCTTCAGCATCTGCTGGTTTGACATTGCATTTGATGATGGAGTGCTGCAGGGCACCCCCTAACTTAGTGCTAGGCAGGTATGATAGTACCAATTTATGAGAGGCAACTCAGGTCATTTCATCCCCTGGTCCTTGGGTCTCTACTGAACTAGTTACAAATAAGAGCTGCTTCTTAATACGAGTACAGTTTTTTGCCCAAAGGGAATTATTTTGCTTCCTCTCTGTTATGGATTCTCCTCTTAGAGCTTGACTTATTTTCACTCAACTTTCCAATCTGCCCCAGAAAAGTTATCATCACAATATCTGCTAGATCGTTAAGTAGAGTGGCACAACAGCTTTCCTGGACCAGTTAGAGAGCACTTCTCTTGCTCTGGATATCTTCAGGGTCATAGAACACATGCAGATGTAAAATGCATTACCTCTAAAGCATACCTACAAAAAAAATTTCAAAGAATTGTATCGCTTTCTTAGTGGTACATCTCAATGAATAATGACTTGTTTCTCACTTTGAAGAAAAAATCTTGATATTCCCACATACTTCAAAAAGAGTTGACAGGATGCTATATTATCAAGATTCTTATCCTCTTCTTCTGGCACTTGGCATGATGTCTTACCAAGGCTTCCAGGGTTTCTTCTACTTCCTTTTCTCCTCATACTATCAGGATGTAATAAACGTGGTGAACTAACATGACATTCAGTGGGACAGTGATATAGTCACATTTCTTTTAGACAAAATTGTAGCACAAAGCTGGACAATTGATCAGACCCAGAGGCAAAACAGTAAAAGTGTACTGTTTTCCCTTCCAGGTAAGAACAAACGGCTTCTATTATTTTTTATTTACTGGACAAAGGGGGAGAATATTCATCAGTTTAATAGCCACACAACAGATTCAATGGGCTGTAGTAATTTTCTCAACTAAGGAGACTTCATCAAGAAAAGCAACTGTAATTGAATTCACCACATGATTAAGTTTATAATAAGCCACCATCATCCTCCGAGATACATCTGTCTTGTGTGTTAATCTAACTAGGGATGTGATTAGAATCATCAATCTTCACTTTCAAGCCTATAGTAGTGGCATTAACATCTAAAATTCCTCGAGAGATACAGAGTTGATTTTGATTTACTCTTTGGGGAGAGAATGGAAATTCCAGAGGCTTTTACTTGCCATTTCTTCCACAAAGTGATTCACACCAGTGGTTCTCAACCCACAGCAAAATTGTGATGCTGTGTATTTTTATACTCCTCTTTTCTTTCCCTTTTCCTCCTTCCTTCTTACTTTATAGACTTAAAGCTTGATTTCCAGCACCCTTCCGTAAGCAAAGACTGAGAAGGTGTTACTGTCTTTTGCCCTTTGAAATATACTAAAGTCCAAATGAAAAAGAAAGATCATAAGCTTCAAACAAAAACAAATGCATTTCTAATTGTAAACCCATCACTTGATAAATCATGCCTCACTTTGCCCACGTGCATTAACTTCTCTAAGCCTCAGTTTTCTCATCCATAAAAGGGTGATAGGTCTAATGACTCATGAGGCAAAAATCACTGAACATAGGCATTTATAGTAACCACAGAGTTGTAAAACACATGCTGATCCTTTTGCCTAAAATCCTCCAATTCTCCAACCCTTTGACTCTTCCTTTGGATTTCTGTGAGAAATATATTTTGTTCCAGTAGTCTGATTAGGTCAAATTCTCTCTTACTCCCTTAACACCGTCTCTCTCCCCTTGGTAATGTTTGTCTCAGTTGTTGTCTTATATTCGTTTTTATATATATTTGGTTATTATCTGTCTTTACCAATGCTCTGTATGCCCCTTGAAGGGAAGCCATGTCTGCTTTTGATCATCTTTGTAGTCTCAGTATTTAGCATAGGGCTTGACCACTGTAGGCACTTAAAAATTAGTTGAACAAATGAATGGATATCACAAGGCAACAATTAATGAGCACTTACTGTGGTGTAACACTCTACACCAAGTGCTTTATTTCCACTACACATATAATACTCAAACAGTCCTCGTATTTCTTCATTATAAATTTGAGAAAGTGAGATTCAGAAAAGGCTAAATGCTGAGATTTTCTCACTATTTTCCTCGTTGGTCTGAGCATGCTCTTTCTTCCTACAATATCTTCATCACACATTCAAAAATCTTAGGTCCGTGATGTAATTTGCCTGCACTCTCAAAACCTCCAACTCAGTACAGCTGATTTGGGAACTCTAGTCTGCATCAGACATATCTGAAAACTGGTTTAAGTATTTCCCTCATGCACAGAGATTCTAATTCTGTAGTTTAGGAGAGAATTTGAGTATACGTATTTTTATAAAATACTTCAGGTGGTGCTGATGCTAAGGCAAGGAATATGCATATCACTTCAGAAATTTTGAGATCTAGGAGCCCAGAGTTAGGGAAGTAAAGAGCTGGTAGAGTTGGAATTCTCAGTGGCAAACCACAGAGAACTTCATTGTTAGGCAAAAGAAATTCTCACTCGGAAGCTGAACTCCAGTATCTGAAATACACAAGAGTTCTAGGTGGTCAGAGATTGTTAACTAGTACTGTGATATGCAAAGAAACCATCAACTCTGACAACTTTAAAAATATGTGCTGGAAAATTGATTTCATAGGCTGAGGAATCTTGATTTGGTAGTAAAAGAAGCATTAGAATTATTTATGTGAACTGTTTTACATTTATGCCTAATAACTACGCAGCCTAATAAAATTAATGTATACCTATAAACGTGTGTCAGAGTCCTTTTGTGTAATTGGAACAGTGATCTCTGTAGATCCTAGTCTTTTTAGATTACTTCCCTAGAACCACAGACATTTGATCACAACTTTAAAACAAATAGTAAAAGTCTGAATCATATATATAGATTTATTTTAGGTGATTGTTTTTGGAATTGTCTTATACCCTACTGGAAAGAGAAAACTGGTATATACTTTCTAAACTTTCTAGAGGGCAATTTGGCATCTCTGAGAATGACAAGATATTGGAGAAGGACACAAAATGATCTGTGCTCTTCCAAACACTCCATATGATATCTCTAAGCAGTGGACAAAGGAGCCCTGTACGTCCCCCTGAGACACACACTTCAAATGCTAACATAGGACTCCATGTATAGAAATGGGCACTTTCACTCTAAGAGTTAAATGAAATACCTCGCCTTTGTTTGTCATGGAGATTCTCAGATTATTTTTCCTTAAAATGTTTGCCAAAACCTCTATGAAAAGCAAATAGGATTTTCCACTTGCACATTCAACCTGTGCATCTCATTTATATAATTCTCTTGATTCTTCAAATATTAACATCTAGGCAGGTACAATGAAACTCAACAAATCAAGCTAAAAATAGGTATGTTATCAAATTAAGGAAAATTCAAACCAGACCCTATAGATTTCAAATTTCAGGCAACTCTTCTTCTTTACAATAAGATATATATTATATTGATATATGTAATTGTTAAGCTAAGACTCTAAATCAAGTTGACCATAGTTCAAATACCAGCTCTGCCAATTACTAGCTGTGTGGTCAGAGGCAAAGTTTCTTAACTTCTTCAAGACCCAGCCCATTTGTCAGTAAAATGGGCATATATCTATTGCATAGGTTTGATGTGAGAATTAAATGAAAGCATGTATTTAAGGGTGCATTAAAATGTACCAGGTGTAAGACAGATATCAAGAATTATTACTTTTTATTATTACTAGTCAGAATTGATAATAAAAAATATTGAAAACAATCATGATAGTGATTATCATGGGGATATGAGAAGAAGAACGAGGTCTTTCACAAACCTCAAATCTGTAAATACCTTAGATTGTGGCTACAGCTGTTTGTAAACTCTGACTCCATTTTCAATTCTGCCTTTTAGATTCTGATGGATACTTGCCTTTCTCAGCACAGTTTTTCAAAAATATTTAAAAATTTGGGGTTAACTTACCTGTTGAACAAAATGACAAATGTTCCTTTAGTTCCCGGTTTCCAAGTTTCATAGTCGTTTCGATGTCTTTTGGAAGACAGAAGGTATTGCAATGCTCAAATGGTAGCAGTACTTTTATCAGATGGTCCATTAGTCAGTTTTCTCAATGTGAAAAGCTGAACTTGGTCCACAGTGCTGTCATTTAGCATTCTCACCCGTAAAAAGAAAAATTAAAGAGAGATGGAAACTTGCTATTTTTCTCTTTCAAAAGTAAAACCAAACCAGTAAAATTGTCATCAGGCCACTTTTTTCACAAAAGCATTGGATGTTATCCCAAATGCAAATTAAATTGTGAGAAACGTCTCCATTCATTTTTGAGGACAAAGCAGAATAACTGAGGACAAAGCAGGCCACGAGTTGAAAGCCAAGAAGGAAACTAAAATGTAAATGAGCACCCATAAACTCACATTAATGTTGTCTTTGCTTTATTTGACAAACAAAGAAATAACGTGGGATTTGATTTTACTGCTAAATATCTGGCTAAATGTTGATTAACATAAAAGTATTTAATTCGGGACACTTAAATTGAGATGCGGTCTACCTAACTTCTATGGATGTTAACTTTTTGTTGTTGTTAGTGCCGTCGAGTGGATTCTGACTCCTAGTGATCCTGACCCTGTGTACAGCAGAGTGGAACCCTGCCAGGTCTTGTGGCTCCATCTGCTTCTCACTTTCCAGGGCTGTACACTGCTATTCATAAGCTCATAAGTTTTCATGGCCAAGTTTTTTGGAAGCAGGTGGCCAGGTCCTTCTTCCTAGTCCGTCTTAGTCTGGAAGCTCTACTGAAACCTGTCCACCATGAGTGACCCTCTGGTATTTGAAATACCCAGGTTGCATAGTTTTCAGCATCATAGCAACACCGTAGTATGACAGTGGACGAATAGGTGTTGGGGTCCCTTAGAGGGAAACAAACCCAGACCACAGGGCTCCCTTAACCACTACACTACCAGAACAGGCTATGTTAACTTTGGACTTAGAATTACAGGTAAATGACCAAGGAAGCATTCTGTCTGCTACAGTTTCAATGTTAGAACATACTCAATAAAGTGGCTTTGTTTCAAGTAAACTCAATTTGCATTACTTTGGATCTAAGTGGAAATCATGATTTAACTCATATTCAAATGGAGGTCAGGAGAGAAAGGGTAAATAATAGTGCTGAGTACAGATACAACTGCATCATATTTCCCTTACACTTTTTAATTCAACAAGATAACACTACAAATAATAATGTTGTTGTTATAAAACTTTTATCCTCAAGCATAATACTTCAAAGACTGAGAAAGACATCATATGATTAAATAAGTAATGAAATCGTTCATGGGAATAAGAAAGGATTAAGAGTTATTTGCTGTTTCTTCCTCATAGTATCTCTTCACTAGCTTTTATTAGATGAAAAATACTTTTGAGTGAAATTCCTAATGGAAAGTGCTTGTATTTATATTCTTCGGAGTAATTTTTTACATTCAGTTAGATAGATTTAAGTTACAGAAACATCTTGTTAGGGTAGAGGTTCTTTTTAAGAAAAGCAAACAGTTAGCCAGGAATCCTAGGGCAGCTGGAAGTTAAGAACTGCAATATATTGTAACAAGAAAATAAAGGTTAAATGTATAAGTAATTAAGAGGATAATTTTTCCTGAAACTTGAGGTAGCCCTCCACCAAAGTATTCTTTTTGGATTTTCAGTAAAGGATACTAAACAAACTAAATCATAATCATGATTTTTGTGGGAAATTTCATAGATCTAAACATAAAATATAAAGAGGCATATGAATGGGAAAATTTATGTTGGAAACGGTCATCTTATAACAAAGGGCCATGTAGTTTCATAAAAAAGTGAATTGAGATAATATATAGGTGAAGGGTAGCAAAATATGCCACTTTAGCATAGAGATAATTTTAGCCTGAATGCAATTGAGAAGAAATAGATACAAGAAAAAGCTCTCTGCCCTCCCCAATATTTGCCTAAAAGTAGGCCATAAATTTGTAAAGGCATTTGCCGTCCCCTCTCCACCAGAAGGACAGAAGTTAATTACCAGTGACAACTCCAGACACTTATCAGCCCAGAGATGCACCAGAGGAATCTACATATCAAACTTTAATAACTAGAATTTATTGTCCATTAGTTCCCCAATACGTTTACCTTCCCACAATTTGCCACCTCAGAAACTCAAAGTCTTTTTCATTTGCTTTGTTACTTCTCTAAAAATGTATTGTTCTTTTGTTAAGATGTTACATAAACCCAATTTCTAACCACCCCTGTGAGCTACTCATCATGAGTGCTCCCTTGCGTATGTGTGATGCACAGGTTAATAAACTTCTGTTTGTTTTTCTCTTGTTAATCTCTTGTCAGTCGAATTTACAGGGCCCCAACTGCAGAACCTAAAACAGGTAGAGGAAAAAGAAAATTTTTTCTCCCCTACACAGTGATTCAGCAAATTGCTGATAGTTCTGCAAAAATTATTTCAATAAATATTGTAAGTCATGAGAAGATTTAAATTCTAGAAATATGAGCAGGTATGATCACTCCACTCATTAATGACAATGAGGTTAGTGAACAACATAAGATGAAGGGGCCATATACTTAGCAGAACATCACGTGAATGATGAAGTTCAACATTTTAGTGCCAAGAAAATGAATGTAGAACTACAGACATAAACCTATATACACTCTTATCTGGACTAATGCAATGTTGACATGAATGGAAATTATATTCTCTACTTTAAATATGTCTTTCATGAGGTGGTGTTTGATAACACAGTTAAATCAGCTATCTAACCATAGTTTTTCTTTTGTTTGATTTTGGGTTTTTTGTTTGTTTTTTTAAATTGAGGTATATTTGACATACAACATTATATTAGTTTCAGGTATACAATGTAATAATTTGATATTTGTGTGTAATGCAAAATGTTCACCATAATAAATCTAGTTAACATCTGTCACTATACATAGCTACAAATTTTTTCTTTCTTGTAATAACTATTAAGATTTACTCTCTTAGCAACTTTCAAATATGCAATACAGTATTTTCAATTATAGTCACCGTGTTGTACATTACATCCCCATGACTTACTTATTTCATAACTGAAAGTTTGTATCTTTTGATCCTTTTCGTCCATTTTGTTCACCCCCCACCCCCCACCCTGACCTTGGGCAACCACCTATCTGTTATCTTTATCTCCAAGTTCAGTTTTGTTGTTTGGTCTTGTTTTGTTTAGATTCCACATATAAGTGAGATCATACAGCAGTTGTCTTTCTCTGTCTGATTTATTTCACTTAGCATAATGCACTCAAGGTCCATCCTTATTGTTGCAAATGGTAAGATTTCCTTCCTTTTTACTACTGAATAATATTCCATTGTGGATAGATAGATAGATAGATATCTAGCACAACTTCTTTATCCATTCATCTATCATTGGACACTTAGGTACACTTAGGTTGTTTCCCTGTCTTGGCTATTGTAAATAATTCTGCAATGAACATGGGGGTGAATATATCACTTTGAGTTAGTGTTTTTGTTTTCTTTGGATAAATATCTGGAAGCAGAATTGATGGATCATATGGTAGTTCTATTTTTAATTTTTTGAGGGACCTCCATACTGTTTTCCATAGTGGCTGCACCAGTTTACATTCCTACCAACAGTATACAAGTGTTGCCTTTTCTCCACATCCTTGGTAACACTTTTTATTTCTTATCTTTTTGATAATAACCATTCCAACAGGTGTGAGGTGATATCTCATTGTGATTTTGATTTGCATTTCTCTGATGACTAGTGATGCTGAGCATCTTTTCATGTACTTGTTGGCCATCTGCATGTCTTCTTTGGAAAAATGTCTATTCAGACCCTCTGCTCATTTTTTAATTTGACTATTTGTTTTTTTGCCATTGAGTTGTATGAGTTCTTTATATATTTTGAATGTTAGCCCCTTATCAGTTATATGATTTGCAAATATTTTCTCCCATTAAGTTGCCATTTCATTTTGTTAATAGTTTCTTTTGCTGTTCAGAAGCTTTTTAGTTTGATGTAGTCCCACTTGTTTATTTTCACTTTTATTGTCTTTTCTTTTAGTGTCAAATCCAGAAAAGCATCCCCAAGAATGCTGTCAAGGAGCTTACCATCTATGTTTTCTCCCAGGAGTTTTATGGTTTGGGTCTTACATTCAAGTTTTTAACCCATTTTGAGTTAATTTTTGCATATGGTGTAAGATAGTGATCCAGTTTCATTCTTTTGCATGTGGCTGTCCAATTTTCCCAACACTATTTATTGAAGAGACTACTCTTTTCTCACTGTATATTCTTGGCTCTTTTGTTGTAAATTAATTGACCATATATGCATGGGTTTATTTCTAGGCTCTCTATTCTGTTCTATTGATCTACGCATCTGTTTTTATGCCAATACCATACTGCTCTGATTATTACAGCTTTATAACATAGTTTGAAATCAGGGAGCATAATGCCTCCAACTTTGTTCTTCTTTCTCAAGATTGCTTTGGCTATTTGGGGTCCTTCTGGTTCCATACAAATTTTAGGATTATTTGTTCTATTTCTCTGAAAAATACCATTGGAATTTTGATAGGACTTACTGGCTCTGGACGTCTGTTTCCTTCACCAGGTTAGCAAAGTTTTTAGCTATTATTTCTTCAAATAATTTTCTTCCCCTCTCTTGCTCTCTTCTCCTTCTGGGACCCCTATAAATGCAAATGTTAGTCCGCTTGATATTGTGTCATAGGCCCCTTATGCTATCTTCACTTTTTTCATTCTTTTTTCTTTTTGCTGCTCTGATTGGGTGAGTTCCACTGCTTTGTCTTGAGATGACTGATCCTTTCTTCTGTTGAAGCCCTCTCGTGTCTTTCCAGTTTAGTTATTGTGTTCTTCAGCTCTACAGCTCCTACTTGGTACTTTCTTATATTTTTCCATCACTGTGTTGAAGTTCTCATCATGTTCATCCATTCTTCTCCTGAGTTTGGTGAGCATCGTTATGGCCATTACTTTAAACTTTTTATCAGGAAATTACTTACCTTTGTCTCCTTAAGTTTTTTTCCTGAGGTTTTATTCTCTTCTTTTGTTTGGAACATATTCCTTTGTTTTTTCACTTTGCTTGACTCTCTGTGTTGGCTCCTATGTATTAGATGTAACAACCCCCTCCAGTCTTGAAGGAGTGGGCTCATGTAGGAGATGAAACTTATTGTTCAACCCTGTCCCAGATCTTTGTTGTCTCTCAAACTTTGTGG